CCTTACATAATAATAAGAGAACAGAAGCTCTTGGAGATATTTGGATAAACAAAGAAGTAAGTTTATACTGTTGCTGTAGTGGTATAAATAGTCAAATAGCTGTAGAAGGAGCAGAGAGGGGTATACAACTTAAAAAAAAGTTGAATATTATTCTTTTAATGCCAGAGGTATATGAAGACTTCTATAAGATGTCACAGAATATTGTTGAAAATTTTGTTAAAGAAATTAAAGTAGAAATAATGAATAGGGATAAAAAAAATAAGCGTAATAATATAATAGACTTTGCAGGTAATTTAAAAATTGAACAGCTATCAGATTTAACATGCATTATGAAATATCTTATACACACTGCACAGAAAAATGAAGCATCGGCAGAAGAAGCATACAATGCAATTAAACAAATTAAATTGCAAGGGGGATAATGAGAATTTAATAGGCGATTCTAATGCAATAGAAGTATATAATTTTGTATGTAATAAAGTTGGTATTTTTTATAAATATCATGGAATGACATATAAACTATACCAGAAACAAAAAGACGCTATTAGAAATAGAACACGACTAATTCATATAGATAATATGCATGAAATCCGAGCACACAATAAACTGTTAGGGGGTGAAAGTTTTAATGCTCAACAACTTTTTAAATCTATTGCACAGATAAAAAACATAAATGAAATAGAAAATATTGGCTCTACTCATGTTATTGACATAGATGATATAAAATACACTGACATATTCACTGAAAATAACACATTACTAAGCATAAAAGACCATTATCATGTGCAATTTGTAGACAATGAATGGCACACGGTTACAATGGTTCATCTTCCCTACTACACACATAGGCAAAAAAATGGTACAATTATAAACTATCAGTTTCATACAATTAAAGACATAATAACTCATTTAAAATATACTTTTAATATAAGAAGAAAAGGTAACCATTATAAGATTGGAGATGTGTATTCATTTAAGTACTGCAAGCAGGATAAAACATGGTCATTAATAACCGATGAATCTGATTTAAACAAAACCATTATGTCAATAGAAAGTGAAAACTATAATGTAGTATTCTATTACATAAAAGAAAATATCTATGAAACCGAGTTCTGTTTTGCACAGTTTGTGTATTCATCAGAAGTAAAAAATAATGTTAAGGATGGCAATGTGAAAAAGACACGGATTCCACTTTTTCTTTCTAAGTTTATGGTTTCTGGTGCTGTGCTTGGACCTTATGACAAGAATAGTATTAACTATCATGTATTCAAATTGGGTGAATATAAAGACTTAATACCAATTGATTACACAGAGATTTATACTCCTCCATTTTTTAAGACTAATTCAAGTTCCTCTGGCTCAAAGACAAATGATTCAAGCTCTTCTAAGTTACGAACCGATGATTCAATATCATTAATAATTGAAAGACATATGAAAGAAAGTGATCTAAACTATGCTATTAAACACTATTATAGCGACTTCTTTATACGAAATTCAACAGACTTCTATGAAGACCCTCAGTGTTACTACATGAATATTCAATCAGAAATTAATATTGCGGCTGGTAATATAAATATAACTTGGAATACAAGAATTTATGAAAGCGTCTATGAGTACACAACATACAAGTTTGACAGCAGAATACGAGATGAAAGAACGCGCATGGGTGTTATTAATCAACCTGCCCATATTTCTTTCATTGGCATGCTACAGCGCAAAAATCCTTCTCTTAATACAGCATTATATGGACACTGTTTCTACAAAAGCCGAACTGATATTGACTATAAAACCAGTGCTATTTACTGTCTGACTATGAAAGATCTTTTAGAAAGAATGAATGCATATTTAATGGATATAAATACAAAGGATGAAATAATCGATCCTATCTCGGGCACGGTACTTAATAAAAAGGACTATGACCCAAGATTCATTCTAAAAGACATTTCAAGTGCTATTCAAAATAGCAAACTACAAGAAATTAGACAAAGTGATGAAGGAATTATATCCATAAGAGACAATAACTACAACGGCTGTAAATATGGAATCCACTATGATATTTTAAATACTTTAATTAAAACCTACCCCATCACACGAGAATTACGTTTACAAGAACTTAAAAAACTATCAAAAAAAACTTAAATCCGTCTCTAAATCCGAAAATATTGCACTAAGAAAACACTTTAGATATAACTACTCGTTTATTACATATTCTACCTAATTTGTCTATTTATAACTGATGTACTCACAAGGAGTAACGCCACCGCCGCCCTGCTACGTAGCCAAGAGAGAGAAGAGAGTGAAAGAGGAGAGCTCTTTATTGTCTTTAGGAAGCGGCCCAAGCCTGCGCGGACACGGAGTCCCGAGCGCAGTTGTGTTAGGCCTGGCGCTGAAGTTAAGCCGTCGATGCTTCCCTGAGTCTCCCCCTAAATTGGGGGAAGAGCTCCGGTTAAATAGTCGGAAGTTGATATACTAATTCAGAGATCCCGGCCTTTGCCTTGGCGGGATCACCGCGCGAGCTGGCGCGCAGACGGATCGCCCTCGGGGGCTCCCGTCCGAGTGGTGGTGTCACCACAATAACACTACAATATACATATTAGTGCTTGCCCCTACATCACTACTATTCTATAGTAATAACCCAAAATATACTGTTTCTAGTTGATTTGTTAATGGTCTTTTATTTCTGTTTCATAAATAGAAAGCCAATTTAATATACTACTATACTACAGGCACATCCTGCTCTTTAACTGAAACCAAATATGCTATACTACACTAATTCAATAAAAATAGTTTATTTAAGTTTTGTTTTGAAATATATAGTTGATTATAATATGCTTCTTAATTTTTATGGAGTATTGGTATGTTAATATGTTGTTTTGTTGTGTTATATTACATATTGTATTATAAAATAGTTAAATGATTTTAGTAAATTCTTTTATTTATTATTTTTCTATTTTTCTTGTAATAAACTCATATTCAATGAAATATTTCATATAAAAAGTGAACATATTTTATTTCTACAATTTGAAATATTTAAATGTTTAATAGTATAAGAATATAAGTAAAGGACAATTATACAAAAAGTATAGGAAAACTATGTTATTATTAAAGAATGTGCATAATACCATATGAAGTAAACTATAAAACAGGCAAGTATAATGATACT